TTCACAGCAATGGGAAACTCTCCCATGGACAAACTCTAGCTGCTCTGTAGACAACGATTCAATTCAGGAAACACACAGCCTAGAGGAGTCGGGAAGGAACTAAGATCACGGGGTCCTGAGGACCCCAGCAGCAGACTGCTGCCGGACATGGGGAGACTGAGCCGGTCCTCGGGCCACAGGCTCCCAGGCTGTGCTGGTGTGTGCCGCATCCTTCGGCTTCATCAGTCTTGTAGCCCAGACCTATTTGCCTGACTCCTGAGTATGCAAGAATCCTCCGTGAGGTCAGGACGGGGGGGAGGGGGTTGCTCTGTATGGATAGAACTTGTGGCTACAGAAAGCTCCTCTTAGCTGGTCCTTGGGCAGTTGTATTTCTCCACTGCAGGTGCAGTAAGTGGAGGGGTGGCAGCAGATGGCTGGGACCAGAAGCAAGTGGCACTGCCCAGTGTTAGAGCACTCATGGCTACTGAGACCCTTGGCTCTACAGTGATGTGAGACAGCTCTGTGTAGGCCCAGAAAGGCAGGACTCCCAATCTGTTGACAACGGTTCTAGATCTGGGTGCCCGAGAGCCCTGGCCTTTACATCCTGGCCACTCTCAGAACTCTTCTCGCACCGGTGTCTGTAGTCTCTCTTTTCTGGCTTTTATAGCTTTCTGTCCTTCAACCTAAGCTCTTGATGAATTTCTCTCCTTCTGCAGACTATCCCAGCTCTGCCTTGGCCATCCACCGGGACCTTCTAGTTCCTTCTTGTTGGTATGACTACTGCCATGGCTGCAACCTGATTTGTTTTGCTTTGGCTCCTGCTGTCATCACCAATGTCTTGAGTGTGGCTGTTGTCTCCCCTGTGGCTCCAGCTCCTGCTCTCCCTGCCTCTCCATTGCTTCTCCTCTGCTGTGGCTCTTCAGCCATTGTCTGACAACTGTCAAAGCAGCTGGCCACTCCTTTCTAGACCAGCTCACTGTACTCTTAGTGATAGGTAATGAAAGCAGGCAGGAATGAGCCGACAAAGTTGTCTTCTTTTATTTATTTGTGTGTGTGTATGTGTGTGTGTGTGTGTGTGTGTGCATTTGTCTGTGAGTGTGTATGTCTGTGAGTGTGTGTGTCTGTGAGTATGTTTCTGTGAGTGTGTCTCTGTGTGTGTCTCTGTGTGTGTGTCTCTTTGTGTGTGTCTCTGTGTGTATAACTGTGTGTGTTTCTGTGTATGAAGTGTGTCTGAGTGTCTGTGTTTGTGTCTCTCTGTGTGTATTCCTGTGTGTATCTCTGTGTGTGTGTCTCTGCGTGTCTCTCTGTATGTGTGTGTGTCCGTATGTGTCTCTGTGAGAGTGTCTCTGTGTGTCTCTGTATATGTATTTGTCTGTGTGTGTCTCTGTGTGTTTCTGTATGTGTGTGTCTCTGTTAGTATGTCTGTGTGTATGTCTCTCCGTGTGTCTTTGCATGTGTATGTCTCTCTTTGTGTGTGTCTGTGTGTGTCTATGTGTGTGTATGTGTGTCTATGTGTGTGTATGTGTGTCTCTCTCTCTCTGTCTCTCTCTCTCTGTCTCTCTCTCTCTCTGTCTCTCTTTCTCTCTGTCTCTCTCTGTCTCTCTCTCTCTGTCTCTCTCTCTCTGTCTCTCTCTCTCTCTCTCTCTCTGTGTGTGTGTGTGTGTGTGTGTGTGTGTGTAGGCCAGAGGACAGCCTTGAGTGTCAGTTCTTAGGTGCCCTCCATCTTTTGTTTGAGACAGTCTCTCACTGACCTGGAACTTTGCTAAGTAGGCTAGATTAGCTGATCCGTGATCTCCAGGATCCACCTGTCTCCTCTCATCTGACTAGTGTCCAGATTACAGGGGTTATAGGTGCTTCTCACTTGTCCCTGTGCCTTGCTCTTACATGGGTTTTGGGAATGGACCTCAGTTCATCAGACCTATGAGGCAAGTACTTTCCCAAATGAGACATCTCTCGTATCTCTTCTTGCCTTTCTCATTTTTATTACATTGTTATTTATTGTGCGAGGGGTTGTGTGTGTACTTTGGCTCACCAGTGGAGGTCAGAGGACAACTTCCACCAGTCAGTTCTTGCCTACCATGTGCCTCCCATGGATCAAACTCTAGTTGTCAGGTTTGATGCTAAATGCATTTACCCAATGAGTCATCCTGCCAACACCTGAAGAAGTCTTTTATTGAACCTACTGTTGAAACATAAGCCAGGAGGCACAGCAGGGCAGCATAGTAAGGGACCTTTTAGCTCACAAAGGGAACTCAACAATCCATTTAGAAACGGGGTGTTTGTACCCATCGTAGCAAACATGCACACTCATTAAGGGCTATATTTGTCTTAGGCAGGGAACTATCTCTCTGTACCAGGCATGACTCTCCCCCTGCTAGGCCACCAAGAAAGCTGCTCTTCCTCTGGCTGAGGTGGATGTATTTGGAAGAAACGTCTGTCATCAACTGTTTCAAACAGGCCTAGCTAGGGCCTCACCTCCTGGAACCAGAGTTGTGCTTCAGTAACAAGTAGCTGCAATTGTTGAGTAGCTTCCTCAAGATATCTGTGGTCGGCATAAGGGAAGTCTGTCTGGCTGCTTGATTGACAGTCCTTTATTCAAGACAGGCAGGATACCAGGAAGAGTCTAACAGCTGTCAGTTAGGGAGGCAAATCACTGCCTCCCAACATTTTCACAGAAAAATTAACATCAGAAGTAGTGCTTATATTAGTAATTTTCCATTAACATTAATAGTGATACAAACAATATTTAGCAGTGCTTGACACTGGTCAAGAATCCTCTAATATGTCTCAGTATCTCTGATGCCATACCTAATTCATCTTAGAAGACCTGAGCCTGCAGTTGGCTAAGCCTCAGAGTGACCATGGAGCTATGTTGATCCATGCAAAAGACAGGCCTATGGTGGCCTATGGTGGAGGACACTTAGTCCACTATGTACAGTGTGGGGTTCACAGAACTAGTAAGGCTCTGAAGTCCCCACCTACACTGGCTTTTTCTTCATGGGTCAGTAGCAGACCATGAAGGCCACCATCCATGACAGGAATCTCTCCATGCCCTTAGCCCCACATGGCTCTGAATCTCCTTCCTGTTCTGGAAGCTGCAGTTCTGTTTCCTTTATGAACTTTAGGATGGGGCAGGTGGGGAATAAAAGTATCTATACCTTTCTAGTGTTCTGTGCAAGGGACATTAAGACATTGCCTGTCCATCTGTGACCCGCTGGGTCTTAACTGAAGCTTCCCTCACTTTGACCCCACTGAGCAATGAGCAGAAGTGCGCCTCGGTCCCTTCAGATGTCCTTGAGTATTTGGTTCATGACAACAGGGCAGCCATGGAGAGCTTCCAGGGATCCAGACAAACACCTGTACTCTCAAGTTTCAGCAGTAGGCAGGGTACCTGTCTGTCACCAGGAGAAGGTCAACACAGAAGGATTTCCAGAGACTTCCACTCAGAAGTCTGGGACCCGCCTCTTGATCCCTGGCCTGACAGGTGTTGGCCTTGTGCCTTCCTACCTGAAGGGGTAGGGGTTGCTCAACTGAGCTTCCTATAGGATAATGACTAGGTCAAGCTACCACTTTTTACTCTGAACCCCAAGGGCAATGAGAGCATGTGGAACACAGCCCTGTGACCAGGGACACAGACACCATTGGGAAGATGCTGCATCCCATGCTGGTTTGCTGGGTCAGTCTGGGGTCCCAGGGCAGATGACCAAGCTAGGAGTCTCTATTGCCCAAGTTAAGAGAACATGACTGCTCTCTCTCTCAGGGACGTGGAGAACTTCAGTGCAAAGGCCATGCAGTGAGTGCCACCCAAAGCAGGCTGACTGATCCTCTCACTCATTGTGCTGGAGGCACAGACACAGACACGGACAGAGGAACAGTCTGAGGCATGGGAGTTGCATGGATAAAAGGGTCAGGAGCAGGTGATGGCAGCTGAGGGTGCCCTTCTGAGTGAATGGTGACTATGGTCTGGTCCCCTATGTTCTACCAACCTGCGAGGGCAAATAGAAACCATGGAGAACTGTCGAGAGATGCCCAAAGGTGCTAAAGGGCTGACTGCCAGTCTCATAAGACAATGTGGCCCAAAGATACGTGACTGTGAGCTCTCTTGGACATTGAGGACTTGATTAACAATATCAACTGAGATTGTCAAGAACTAGGCTGGCCTAAATCCTCAGATGAGAGTTCTTGTCACAGGCAGTCAGAGGGGCCTTCAGGGCTGAGGAGAGGCGAGGTAAAGACAGGCAGAACTTGGGAAAGGAAACCACAGGAAGAGAGTCATGGGGGCTGCCAATCATCCAGGGGCCTCCCCAGAGTCTTGGGAAGGAGTATGGCTCTGGCCTGTCTAGTCTTCACACCCAGCTTCTGGCCTCCACGACTGAAGGGAGCAGATGTGAAGTGCTGAAGACCTGGGTGGAGGTGGTTTGTTACAGCAGCTTCAGGCAACTCCTGCCAGTGCTCTGAGGAGGAGAAAGCCAGGAAGGGAAGGCATAAAGAGTGTTTCTAGAAGAACAGTTCAGTGACTAGGCTGAGCCCAGAGTTGAAAAGCTGTGTCCTGCAGGACACTCTTGACAAAGTTCCCAACAGAACAGCAAGTGCTGGGCTCAAAGGGCTGAGCTTGTACATATATGGTGGAGTGGTCTAAGATCCTGCTCTCTCCCCATTCTGACTCCCTCCTCAGTGATGGGTGGTTCTTGCAGTTCTTCAGACTCCAACAATAGACCAGACTGTGTGGATCACCTGCCTTTCCTCTGAGTTCCCAATTCTCCCTCAGCTTCTTTGGACTCTGAACAATAGCTGTCTCTGATCAATGGCCTTGATTTCTTGAAGCCCTAACAAGCTGTTATACAAAACACTGACATTCCCCTGCCAGCTGGCTGTGGACATAACTCAGAAGGACCTGGTCCTCTCTGCCAAGTTCCCCAAGGACCCTGCGTGGGTCTGTATAAAGGACAGTCAAGTGAGGGGCCAGTAGAGCCTCTCCTGCCCCTATTACCTGCTGGTTGGCTGTGAATACAGACCTAGAGATGAAGGCTCTGCTCTTGGCCGTTAACTTCTGTTTGGTTGCTGCTCTGCAGGCCCAGAACTCCTCATCCCTTGCTTTCAATGATGAGAATGTGAGTCAGGGCTGGGGCACAGGGCAGTCTCAGATTTTACTGGTGCAGGAAGATGAGGGTTCTGGATTCAAGGGGCATCCAAATCTGATCTGTGTCATAAGTCGTAACTAAAGAGAGTAGACTAATTTGGAGTTAAAGGATCTCCATGCATATTCAGGCCTCCCTGTGCTCAGGGGTGCAGTCTGAGAGTGTGTGTTACAAGAAGGCCCTGGTACCCTCAGAGTAAGCAGGTCCCAATCATGTGAGCTTTCTAGGTTTTGGTGGTGGGATAGAATGGACAGACATGAACGGTAACTGGAGGGCACATATTCCACAGGGAGGGTGCTCAGGCATCAGCCAAAGAGAAAATTTATCTTTTTAGTTTTCTGGGAAGTGGTTCATGAAGGCCTTGGTGTTGGAAGACGAGGTCCTAATAAACAAGGTCTCTCCCATATTTACCTTGGTCCTGAACAACGGGGACATGGAGTTTTCTATTACATATATGTGAGTGTCTGTGGCTCCCATGGTTAACTGGTCTCTTACCTGGCCCATTGCTTCTCAATAAGTCCCCTGACTTGGAAAAAACTCCAGAAGTGGGTTGAAGAGGGAGGATCCCAGTCAGCATGAGGGCTGGGTTTAAGAGGGCCACTGCAGAGGACCGCAGTCAGCATGAGGGCTGGGTTTAAGAGGGCTACTGCAAAACTGTTTCTGATTCCAGGATCTATGGCCAGTGTCTTGAAGTGACCACCATCTTGGAGAAAGCAGATGTGCCTGGCCAGTATACTGCCTGTGAGTATTAGCCCAGGAATGGGTGGCTAGCAGCCCATGGAAGGGAGAGCCTCCTGCCAAGCCCCACCCCTAAGAGGGATTACAGATGAGTCCTGGGAACCCTAGAGCTTGGCTCTCAGGCCATAGTAGTCCTTAGAATCTATGACTAGAGGCTGAGGTGAAGGTCGGAAGAGGGACCCAGGTGGTTGTAAGCTAACCTTGCTCTTTCTGGGGTCTCCACAGTTGAGGGTAAGATCAACCTGCAGGTGCAGCTCTCTTCTGTGAAAGGCCACTACATGCTTTACTGTGATGGAGAGATGGAGGGGATGAGCTTCATGATGACACAGCTCATAGGTAAGTTTCTACACCCCGAGCTCAGCACACCCATGCCTAACCCATCGTTCCTCTAGGCCCCCATACGAGAGGAGCAGCTTTCCTCTCATGGGCAGGTGATGGCAGGGCATGGTGCTGCTGGCTGGCCAGATCTACCTTGGAGAGCTTCCACTGTAGTGACTGCCAAGCCTGGCAGGTACCATCCAGGACAGAGAAAGACATGCCTCTTGACCACAGACGCTGTTGGTGATGCTTTGCGGAACCTCATGGTGTCATGCAGGGTTTATAACACAAGGACAGTGGTGCCTTGACCGAAGTCTTCTCAGCCCAGGGGCCTTTTAGGTCAGGGACAAGATGTTTCAGGCTTCCACTGGAAGGTTTTTGGTTTTCAGGGTCCATTGGTGGCTCAGATGCCATCCAAGCTCAGTGATAACCCTCCATACCACCTCTTCTCGTGCTCTTGGCTATTCCATGAGGAAACACCTGGTGCTGGGCTTCTGTCTTTGTGGCACTGGCTCCTTGAAAACATGTGGTCACCTCCCTCTGCTTATCTGTCCATCTTTCATAGGGAGGGACCCCCAGGAAAATTTGGAGGCCTTGGAGGAATTTAAGAAGTTCACACAGCTAAAGGGACTTGTACCAGAGAACCTGGTCATACCCGAGCAGATGGGTGAGAACACATGCAGCCCATGTTCCCCTCTTTGTCCCTTATAACTCTGTCACTCTCATGCCCCCTGCCCCCAACATGGACAGTGTGGTCCCTGCTCCAGGTCTTAGTCATGGAAAGATAGAAGCTGTAGACTCTTGTCCAGGGTTCATTCTTATCTCTGGGTTTTCTGCTTCTTACAGAAAAATGTGAAACAGAGAGTTACTAGGGTAAGTGACCCTTTTAACAAAGAAAAACCTTGGTATTCAACTGGGTCTCAGGGTCCACCTGGAAGCCTCAGTTGCAGCCAGAAACTTTCCAGGTTTTGTGTCCCAGGGCCCCATGTTCCCTGAACTTCATTTCTGGTCCATTAAGGGTTCCTTGCCTTCCTCATTCCATCAGTGGGATATGCTGGGATATGCTGGGATATGCTGGGATATGCTGGGATACGCTGAGATACACTGGGATACACTGGGATACATTGCCCAGTTGCCACCCATCCAGCAAGTCCCCTGTCCTTCTTAGCCTCCTTTGGGGCTTCTGGGGACTTCCTACCTGCTGGTGTACACATGCCATCTCTTTGTCCATGAGCCTACTCTGGATGACATGAGGGCACTTTGATCATGGAGTAGAAAGTATTGGGTCCTGGGTGAGGAAGGCCAGGGATAGGTGGAGTCATGATACCCATATACTTTATGCCTTCACTTGTCAGTCACACCCTTGCCTGGTCACCACTGCATGGCCAGAGCTTTTCTGAGGGAACTCAGCAGAAAGGAATTCCTTGCTCAGTATTGGCTAGCTCTGCTTCTCTGCAAGCCTGTGATGCTGCCGCCAACCATCTATCATTCCCACCCCACACCATAACCAGTCAGTCATTGTATCCTGCTTGCCTCACGAACTTTCCTTTTTTAGAGAGCATGGTGAACCAAAGTTCCAAAGCAGCCCACAGCCGTGAGCACAGCGCCATCAATCTCTGTCCTGTGGGAGGTGGAGAGGGCCCTGCTGGGCCCTCTGATTCCCCTTCTCTCCTTCCCCCTCCTCCTCCCCAGCTTCTCAATAAAAAGTTTCAGCAGTTCCAGATGACTCTACCTGTGCATGTGGACCCTTGATGGCCTTATCTGTCCCACCTTGTGATCTACTGAGAGGAGGATGGGTGAGAGGTGTTTAGGAGAGATGGAGCCCCCAGCTTTGCTTGGGGTAGACATGGAAGCTGGAGACTGTGCCAGGCCCTGAGATCCTTCTGTAGGTGTGTTACCTCAAAGCCCAGGTTTTAAGCCATAAGTGAGATGAGGAGGAAGCCCATGACAATGACAGGGTGGGACTCCAAGCCACAGGTGAGCACCAACGTAGCCCATGTACAGGTGGGGACCACCTGAGGACTACGGTAGGAATGAGACCAGGACACAGGCCTGGGGTTAGGTTCTCAGGCCCAGCACAACAGACAGTAGGACACTGAGAATTTGTTTCCATGGGTAGAGGACACTGTTGAGATCTTTATGTCTGCAAGCTTGAGAAACATAAGGGCTGTGGAGAAGGACTCAGCTCCAGGAGCACCCTTGCTAAAACATTCTGATGCCATTCAATGCTATTGCTCAGGTCATTCCGAGACTTTGTTCTGAGTGGCAGGAGGGGTCAGCTAGGGCCCAAATCTTCTCTCTCTGTCTCTCTCTGTCTCTCTCTCTGTCTCTCTCTCTGTCTCTCTCTCTGTCTCTCTCTCTCTCTCTCTCTCTCTCTCTCTCTCTCTCTCTCCACCATGGGGAGGGGGATGTGAACCCAGCCATTTTCTTTTTTTTAATGTTTTTTTTTATTGGATAGTTTATTTACATTTCAGATGTTATCTTCTTTCCCTATTCCCCCTTCCCCCGGAACTCCCTATCCCATTCCCCCTCCTACTGCTTCTATGAGGATGTGCCTTGACCCACCCACACACTCCTACTTCCCCACCCTTGAATTCACCCACACTGGAGCATCCCGCCTTCACAGGACCAAGGATGTTCTCTCCCAACAATACCCAACAAGGCCATCCTCCATATCCTCCAGCAGATACAGCTGGAGCCATGGGGCCCTCCATGCAAGTTCCCAGGCTGGCGGTTTAGACTCTGGGAGCTCTGGTTAGTTGGTATTGTCTCTCTCCCCATGGGGCCACAGCTCCTTCAGCTCTTCAGTCTTCTCTCTAACTCTTCCATTGGGAACCCCATGATCAGTTCACTGGTTAGCTGTGAGCATCTGCCTCTGAATATGTCAGGTTCTGGCAGACCTCTAAGGAGACAGCTATATCAGGCTCCTGTCAGTGTGCACTTCCTGACATCCACATCAGTGTCTACCTTTGGTGACTGCATGTAGGATGGATACCCAGGTGGAACAGTCTCCAGACAACCCCTCCTTCAGTTTCTGTCCCACACTTTGTCTCCATATTTACTCCCATGAGTATTTTGTTACTCCTTCTAAGAAGAACTGAAGCACCCACACTTTGGTCTTCCTTCTCTCCTGCCCAAACCTCACCAGTCCCAGGTACATTGTCACTGCTGGGGATTACCAGTATCCCAAGGCTGCTGGACAGCACAGCGGGCCTCTAATACAGACTTCTGGGGTTCACACAGTTTTGTGGCTTCCCTGAGGAGGATGTATTCAGTGTCCTCCATTGGCAGGGAGTCCCCATTGCAGTGCTGGACAATCAACTTGTTTTGAAAACACCAGCTTTATGGTAATTTCCAGAAAACTGATATACAAATGGCCTGTGTACACACACTCATGTGATCACTCATGGGGCCACAGCTCCTTCAGCTCTTCAGTCTTCTCTCTAACTCTTCCATTGGGAACCCCATGATCAGTTCACTGGTTAGCTGTGAGCATCTGCCTCTGAATATGTCAGGTTCTGGCAGAACCTGATGCATCATACTGATGCATAGGTGTAGTCACACATGTACACAACACTCACATGACCACATATGTGGATAGATACGGAGTGTTGCCCTGCACCAAGGAAAGGGTCTAAAAAGGGCCTGCGTGCGATGCTGGAGTTGGCATCCTCTAGGAGGATGGCCTGGTACAGGGGCTCTCTTTCTCATGAGAACAGGGCCTGGGCATGGCATGGGCAGGAGCAGAGCAGCTCTTAGTCCCTGATCCTGAAGCAGCACTTCCCACACTGATGGCGTTCTTCCTCTGACAAGAGTTCTACAGACTATCTCTGTCTAATCATGAGGTCCAATGAAAACTGAGGTCAGACCTCTCATGCCGATGGCTAGAGTTTCTGTGTGAGGTTTCTGGGTGAGGGAGGGTGGGATGCTGCCCCAAGGCCTTCTTTGTGAGTTAAACGGACCCAGAAGGCCAGGGAGCAGAGCAGCCATAAAGAGCATGTGTGGGCTTCTGCTGGCTGCAGGGCTGCAACCTACTCTAAGGAAGGTCAGTGGGACATGAGCAAGAACAGACCACCTCAGAAGAGGTGAGACTCTGACAGTGGACTGTGCTGAGGTCAGACCCTGGTGATCAGAGCCATGTGTGGAGGTCAGCCATGATCCTCTCATGTTTTACAGACTTCTGCCTTGTAGAGAAGGAGGTCCACGTGGTGCCCAGGCCGTCACTCCCCAAGGGACAGTGTGGTACCACCCAGTGTGTGGGCTGCTTAGTAAGATAGATTTCTATTAGGATTGATTAGGGTCCCCAAGCCCACATTCATAGTAACATTATAGCAAGTTATATCATCTTTCTAAAACTCTCAGAGGTCAAAGCAATTATTTGGAAGGAACTTCACTGTTTAGAGTTATAAAGAGTAATAAGTGAAACACCAGATGTCATTAGAGAAAATACCAGAGTGACCACATAGTCATATAATCTCCATCCTGTGTTGCTCGGTCATTTGATGGATGGATGGATGGATGGATGGATGGATGGATGGATGGATGGATGAGTGGATGGATGGATGGATGAGTGGATGGATGGATGGATGGATGGATGGATGGATGGATGGATAGATGGGTGGATGGATGGATGGGTGGATGAATGGGTGGATGGGTGGATGGATAGATGGGTGGGTGGATGGATGGATGGATGGATAGATGGATGGATAGATGGATGGATAGATGGATGGATGGATAGATGGGTGGATGGATGGATGGATAGATGGATGGATAGATGGGTGGGTGGATGGATGGATGGATGGGTGGATGGATGGATGGATAGATGAGTGGATGGATAGATGGATGGATGGATGGATGGATGGATAGATGGATGGATAGATGGGTGGATGGATGGGTGGATGGATATGTGGATGGATAGATGGGTGGATGGATGGGTGGGTAGATGGATGTGTGGATGGATGGATGGATGGATGGATGGAAGGATGGATGGGTGGGTAGGTGGATGGATGGCTGGGAGAGGTGGTAAATGAGAGAGTGATCAGTGGGTGGAAGCTAGTGGTGAATGAGGGTGGAAGGGGAATGGATGTAAGGGACATAAGTGGGTGACTAGTTAGGTGTTGAGTGAATGAATAGATGGATGAGCAGGTGTCCAGGTGATAAGACAAGCACACAGTTATACACAGCTATAGGTCAGGCCATCACTGTGAGCTTTGTGTGCTTTTCCCAATGCTGATCAGGTCTCAGAACCTTCTTGGATTTTTCTCTCATTAATTGGCTCCTTAGTATGATAGGGCCATATTCACTGTTGTAAAAACAACAGCAACAAAATGATTTCATGGACGTCTCTCCCCAGTGCTGGCCTCTACTGATCAGGGAGAGAGCGGCAAGGCTGGGGGGTTGTGCTGCATCTGTCTTTGGGTTTACAACCATATCCTTCTGAATCTTATTCTTCCCATGGACTCCTCCTCACATCTTAGTCATAATCTCTTCTCATAATCCACCACAGCTCCCACTCTGTCTTCCAGTCCATGGTCATCTTGCTTGGGTATTGGCCATTTTTTTCTCACCTTCTTTTCCCCTTCCTTCTCTGCCCACTTCTTTCTTCTCTGGGTTTCTTTCTTCCTTTCTCCTCTATGGAGTACTAATTGCAGTTGTCTTTTCCTTCAAAGGCTTTTCTAGGCTCATTGGCCTAGAACCACTTCTTTCCTCAGGAAATGCAGCATGAATACTTACCTCCCCTCCAGCTTTGTGATCAGCTACAAAGGAAACCAATACTTACAAATATGCTCTCTGTGGGTGCCCTTGCTCCTTACCTCAACCCTACCCTGCCAATTTCCCTGACTGGGAAGGGCTCAGGTATTCCTCTGGGCCC